AGATTATGTAGCTTAAGCATGATTGTTCGTAGTTAAAGTGATTAATTACCCGCCTGGCACTTAGTTGAGGGCTTTTATTCCCTCCCTAACTTCAGGGGAAAATCCCTACCTGTGGAAAAAACCTTTCTGAGAGAGGAGACCTTGGTTAAAAAAAATAGTGCCAAGAAGGTGAGCAAACATTTTAAGAACAGTATGCCATATATGCCAGGTCCCTTGAAACAGCAAGCATGGACCGGCTCCCGGCAGATAGTTAGAAACATCGATGAGAAACATCAATCAGCTGCCTCCTGCACATCTCCTACTGGGGATATGCCCGCAACCCAGGTACATGCCCCTGACCGGAATCGAACCTGGGACCTTTCAGTCCGCAGGCTGACGCTCTATCCACTGAGCCAAACCGGTTTCGGCAAAAACAAAGATCTTATCTGTGTTTTGTATCAACACACCTCCTCAAAGTTCCTCACTACAGTACCAGAAAATGGAACTATTGTCAAGATGGGATTGAATTCTATGAATGACTGGGATACCATAGTTTGCCCAGTAACAGAACAAAAAATAAAGCCCCAACTGGCGATGTCCCCACCTTTCCTTTCTTGCAAATTGAGAAACCTATAAAGGCTAGAGGCACGGTGCACAACATTCGTGAACTGGGGGTGAAGGGTCCTTCAGCCCGGCCTGTGCACTCTTGCAGTCTGGGACCCCTTGGGGGATGTCCACCTTCCGGCTTATGCACGCTCCCCAGATGAATCCTAGACACAAAATATCAGCACATACATATACATATGAATGCTTCATGGGCATGTTGGAAAATAGAGTGCAAGGATATTGAACATCTTGTTTCTGTATTCATTTTCTCAGTCCTTTGGGTTTCACATGGATAGGAACTGATGAATGTGGAGAGAATGATTTCTCTTTACATTTGTGTTGTTCCTCAAATTTCTACCACCTTGTAGAAATTCAGCACTAGACACTGAGAATAAATGGAGGGCTTTCATTTTAATCTCGGCTATCCTGCTGTCCCTGGAACTTAGAGTGAAGGCTTGGAAAACACTCCACGGAGAGATAATGCCAATGGACATACCTCTGCTCATGCTGTCATTATACAAAATACTTTTGCATCCAAAATAATAAAAGGTTTCAACTGCAAAGCTGCCATGGTCTCTGGGGTTCCTCTAGAAAGAATGACCAGCAATAGCCTACATTCAAGAAAGAGAGAATAAAACCTGTATACCATGGGGTAATTCCATCCCAATAAAGAAGTTAATGAGGTAACACTCAGAAATTCTTTTCTTTAAAATATATTTTATTGATTTTTTACAGAGAGGAAGGCAGAGGGATAGAGAGTTAGAAACATCAATAAGAGGGAATGAGAGAGAGAGAAACATCAATCACCTGCCTCCTGCACACTCCCTACTGGGGATATGCCCACAACCAAGGTACATGCCCTTGACCAGAATCGAACCTGGGACCCTTCAGTCTGCAAGCCGATGCTCTATCCACTGAGCCAAATCAGTTAGGGCACACTCAGAAATCCTGAAGGTTTCCAATGAGTATCAGGACAAGAAAAATCACTCCACTTACAAAGTACACAGATGCCAATTTGTGGTATTCCAAAAGTTCATATTCATATTAAAAACTATAGATGTCAGCATGAGAACATGAGTGGTGGGCTACCTACTTTATGAAAATAAAGCAAAATATTCACCAAGTTTTGATGTCAGTGATTGTATTATAAATTCCAAACTATTGAGCAGAAGCTACACTGGCTTGAAGGGCTGATGTGGGACAGGAAGAGCTTTACATGCTGTGGTCATAGCACTGCAAAAATAATGGCAGCCTAGAAGACAAAGTGAAAAACCAGAGAGAAGCAGGAAATGGGAAATGAAAGAAATAGAATTTTTCTGAGTTCAGCCAGCAGTGCAGCCTAGGAATGGTGGCGTCTCTCAACTAGCAGAGTTCATGCCAATTCTGCATCCTGGGTAAAACAATGTCACTGGTATTACAATATTCCTCTTAATTATGGAAAACCTATTATACAGACAGCACGGTCCTGAGTTGCAGTTCCAGTCAAGTAAATGTCACAACCACAAATTGACATTCAGATGAAAAGTTTTCAGTTGAACATATCGGCACAGAAAAGAAACAAACGTTCATTATATCATTTACAGAAAGTTAGTACTATTTTAATAGATTAATGCAATAGTATATTCTCCAGTAGAAGAAAAAAATATGTATCCAATATTCCATAGAAAAATGCATATAAATGAAGTACATATAATATACACAGCTCACAGATCTTTAAGGCAGTTAACAACCCCATGATTTCACACATACAGCAGGAATAACACATAGCAGCAAGTGATATGAGAATAGAATCACAGTAATATTTCCTATTCAAAATACCTCACATGATTTCAATATAAGATAACACTCTAAGTAAGTGTAGATACGGAAACAGAAATTCTTTTGATATATTCAAGTATAAAAATATTACCTAATGACATTTAAAGTTTGGCCGAAACCGGTTTGGCTCAGTGGATAGAGCGTCGGCCTGCAGACTGAGGGGTCCCAGGTTCGATTCCGATCAAGGGCATATACCTGGGCTGCGGGCACATCCCCAGTGGGAGATGTGCAGGAGGCAGCTGATCAATGTTTCTCTCCCATCGATGTTTCTAACTCTCTATCTCTCTCCCTTCCTCTCTGTAAAGAATCAATAAAATATATTTAAAAAAAAAAAAAGTTTGGAGTACACTGTGTAATAAACATTCTGATTTAGAACAATTCCTGAAAGGCATTTTGCCTACCTATCTAGTGTGAATTCAGTGATATTTTAAAATTCATAATCAGCCGAAACAGGTTTGGCTCAGTGGATAGAGCGTCAGCCTGCGGACTGAGAGGTCCCGGGTTCGATTCCGGTCAAGGGCATGTACCTGGGTTGTGGGCACATCCCCGGTGGGGGATGTGCAGGAGGCAGCTGGTCGATGTTTCTCTCTCATCGATGTTTCTAACTCTCTCTATCTCTCTCTCCCTTCCTCTCTGTGAAAAATCAATAAAATATATTAAAAAAATTCATAATCAATTACATACTTTGGTCAAGTTTTTATATCTTTAAAGCATAAATTCCTTGGAAATTTATCAAGTTTATATTTTGAACAGAAGTCCTTCGTCCTATATCATAAATGTAGAATTTCTACCCAATTACAATCCTTGGTATTGACTGAGGTTGTAGGTCCAAGTATATGATTTCCCACATTCATCAGTTTCAAGGTTTCCCTGTAGAATGAATGCCAATGTGAGGAATAAGGTACAGGTACTGATTAAAGACATCAGGACTATGTTTACATATTGTTTCTCTCCAATATGAATTCTGATTTCAACTAAGTTTTGCGTACTAAATAAGCTTTCAGAAATTCTTTTTTTTTAAAATATATTTTATTGATTTTTTTACAGAGAGGGAGGGAGAGGGATAGAGAGTTAGAAACATCGATGAGAGAGAAACATCGACCAGCTGCCTCCTGCACATCTTCTACTGGGGATATGCCTGCAACCAAGGTACATGGCCTTGACTGGAATCGAACCTGGGACCCTTCAGTCCGCAGGCTGACGCTCCATCCACTGAGCCAAACCAGTCTCGCCCAGAAATTCTTTATATCTGCTTCTGCTGGGCTTCTATCCAGTAATAATTATCAGATACTCTATGAGATACATACACTTAGACATATGCCTCATAATTTATAAGGCCTAATTTTATCATTCTCTATGAAGATTAAACCTTTGGTTAAATCTTTGGCCCAATACTTTGATTACTTCTGTTTCCATTTAGAATGATTCTTAAAATGTTGACTAAGTTTGACTACATGTTAAAGGCTTTCTCACATTTTCTACAGTGTAGGCCAGTGATGGTGAACCTCTGACACCCGTGTCAGAGGTGACACGCGAACTCATTTTTTTGGTTGATTTTTCTTTGTTAAATGGCATTTAAATATATAAAATAAATATCAAAAATATAAGCCTTTCTTTTACTATGGTTCCAAATATCAAAAAATTTCTATATGTGACACGACACCAGAGTTAAGTTAGGGTTTTTTTTTTTTTTTTTTTTTTTTTTTTTTAAATATATTTTATTGATTTTTTACAGAGAGGAAGGGAGAGAGATAGAGAGCCAGAAACATCGATGAGAGAGAAACATCGATCAGCTGCCTCCTGCACATCTCCCACTGGGGATATGCCCGCAACCCAGGTACATGCCCTTGACCGGAATTGAACCTGGGACCTTTCAGTCCGCAGGCCGACGCTCTATCCACTGAGCCAAACCAGTTTCGGCAAGTTAGGGTTTTTCAAAATGCTGACACGCTGAGCTCAAAAGGTTTGCCATCACTGGTGTAGGCTTTCCTCCACTATGAAATCTCTGATGCTCGGTAAACTTTGATTTGATGGTAAATGTTCCAGCTCATTTCCTGTTTGTAAAGACTCTCTTTAGTATGAAGACTCTCAGGTATAGTAATATATAAATAGCACAGAAAGGCCTTTTTATTTTTATTTATTTATTTATTAATATATATATATATTTTTTTTTAATATATTTTATTGATTTTTTACAGAGAGGAAGGGAGAGAGATAGAGAGCCAGAAACATCGATGAGAGAGAAACATCGATCAGCTGCCTCCTGCACATCTCCCACTGGGGATGTGCCCGCAACCCAGGTACATGCCCTTGACCGGAATCGAACCTGGGACCTTTCAGTCCACAAGCCGACGCTCTATCCACTGAGCCAAACCGGTTTCGGCGATTTATTAATATATTTTATTGATTTTTCACAGAAAGGAAGGGAGAGGGATAGAGAGTGAGAAACATCGATCAGCTGCCTCCTGCACATCTCCCACTGGGGATGTGCCCGCAACCCAGGTACATACCCTTGACCGGAATCGAACCTGGGACTGTTCAGTCCACAGGCAGACGCTCTATCCACTGAGCCAAACCGGTTTCGGCGGAAAGGCCTTTTTATATTTTGCACATTCATTTGAATTCATCCCAGTATGAATTCTGTGATATTCATTAAGTTCTCCCTGGTAAGCACTTCCAACATTCCTCAAATCTGTAAGACTTCTCTCAAGTATGAACTCTCTAATGATAAGGGATGAAGAATTCCTAAAGGCTTTGCCACATTCTCTACATTTATAAGGCTTTCTCCAGTATGAACTCTCTAATGGCGATTAAGCTTTGAGGAGTCACTGAACGCTTTGTCACATTCTCTACACTTATGAGGTTTCTCTCCAGTGTGAACTCTCCGATGACTAGTAAGGGATGAGGACTGGCTAAAGGCTTTGCCACATTCTCTACATTTATAAGGCTTCTCTCCAGTGTGAACTCTCTGATGATCAGTAAGGACTGAAGAGCTGACAAAAGCTTGGCCACATTTTCCACATTTATAAGGCTTCTCTCTGGTGTGTATTCTCTGATGTTAAGTAAGGTGTGAAAAATTTCAAAAGGCTTTGCCACACTTTCCACATTCATATGGCTTCTCTTCCGTAGTATCTCCCTGATGATAGATAAGGTGTGAGGACTGGCTAAAGGCTTTGCCACCTTCTCAACATTTATAAGACTTCTCTCCAGTATGAACTCTCTGATGACTATTAAGGGACTGTGCCGAAATGAATCCTTTGCCACATTTTCTACACTTATAAGACTTCTCTCCAGTGTGAATTCTCTGATGATAAGTAAAGCTTGAGGACCATCTAAAGGCTTTGCCACAGTCTCTACACTTATAAGGCTTCTCTCCAGTGTGAACTCTCTGATGACTAGTAAGGGCTGAGGACTGGCTAAAGGCTTTGCCACATTCTGAACATTTATAAGGCTTCTCTCCAGTATGAACTTTCTGATGTCGATTAAGCTGTGAGGAGACCCTGAATGCTTTGCCACATTCTGTACATTTATACGGCTTCTCTCCAGTATGAACTCTCTGATGCGTAATAAGGTTTGAGGAACAACCAAAGGCTTTGCCACATTCTCTACATTTATAAGGCTTCTCTCCAGTATGAACTTTCTGATGCATAATAAGTTGGGAGGATCTACCAAAGGCTTTGCTACATTCTGTACATTTATAAGGCTTCTCTCCAGTATGAACTCTCTGATGTGTAATAAGGTATGAGGAACTACCAAAGGCTTTGCCACATTCTCTACATTTATATGGCTTCTCTCCAGTATGAACTCTCTGATGCCAATTAAGGGATGGTGCCGAAATGAATCCTTTGCCACATTCTCTACATGTATAAGGCTTCTCTCCAGTATGAAGTCTCTGATGTATAGTAAGGAGTGAAGAGCTGCCAAAGGCTTTGTCACATTCTCCACATTTATAAGGCTTCTCTCCAGTATGAACTTTTTGATGTCGATGAAGCTTTTTGGACTCATTGAATGCTTTGCCACATTCTGTACATTTATAAGGCTTCTCTCCAGTATGAACTCTCTGATGCGTAGTAAGGTTTGAGGAACTACCAAATGCTTTGCCACATTCTGTACATTTATAAGGCTTCTCTCCAGTATGAACTTTCTGATGCGTAGTAAGGTTTGAGGAACTACGAAAGGCTTTGCCACATTCTGTACATTTATAAGGCTTCTCTCCAGTATGAACTTTCTGATGCGTAGTAAGGTTTGAGGAACTACCAAAGGCTTTGCCACATTCTGTACATTTATAAGGCTTCTCTCCAGTATGAACTTTCTGATGCGTAGTAAGGTTTGAGGAACTACCAAAGGCTTTGCCACATTCTGTACATTTATAAGGCTTCTCTCCAGTATGAACTCTCTGATGCTTAGTAAGGACTGAAGAGCTGCCAAAGGCTTTGCCACATTCTCTACATTTATAAGTCTTCTGTCCAATATGAACTCTCTGATAAGTAAGGAATGAGGAATTCCTAAAGGCTTTGCCACACTTTCCACATTTATATGGCTTCTCCCCAGTGTGATCTTTCTGAGGATAAATAAGGTGTGAGGACTGGCTAAAGGCTTTCCCACATTCTGTACATTTGTAAGGCTTCTCTCCAGTATAATTTCTCTGATTTACAGTGCAACCTGACAGCCAATTAGATGTTTTACCAGAATCTTTACATTTATAAGGTTTTTCTCCACTATAGATTTTTTTCATTTTATTTAGATTGAATACTTGACTGGAGATTCTGTCACAAGGATTCCATTTGTAAGCCTCCACCCCAGTATGAACATTCTCTTGTTCAGTGTAATTTGAAGACTGCTGAAAAGACTGGACACATTTACTTCCTTTGTGTGTCTTCTCCACAATAGGAATAACCTGATGTATATTGTGATTGGACATTTGCTGAAAGACTTTTTCACCTTTACAATGGTCCTCTGCAAGCTCACTTGTCCAATGATTAAGATAAGACTCTTGCTTAAAATTTTTCCAATGTTCAGTCCATTGATAAGTGAAATCTCCTTTATGTGTACTCTGGTAATAATCGGAGATAGAAAGATCTTTAGTTAGAGTTATTATTTCATTAAACCTGTACACTCATTCCATAAGTACCATTTTGTTATATTCATTAAACCAAGATGGCTGTATAAAAAAAGCTTTCCTAATTTATTGAAATTATAGATAAAATAAATACAAAACATTAATTGTCAGAGGAAGAAGAATGAATCCTTGTATAAAAGACTGCCAAACTGCCCAGCCAGAATGGCTCTCTGGTTGAGCTTCGATGTATGAACTAGTAGGTCATGGTTGTGTTACCATTAAGGGCACATGCCCACTTCCAGGATCAGTCCACAGTGGGAGGCATGCAGGCAGCAGCCAATGGATGATTCTCTCTCATCATTGCAGTTTTTCCCTCCCTCTTTCTCTCTCTTATTCTCTGAATTCAATAAAAATATATTTTTTAATTTAAAAAATCGTAAAAAAGATTACCCAGTTGAGCACATTTTAATAGGTAAGTTATAAAGGTATACATTGTAGAAATGATTGCATGAACGTTTACTTCCACCCTACATTTTAAATAATTCAAATAAATATTTACACTAGAGTATATCTGAATTCCTAGCCTTTCCAGATTTCCGTTCCAAGAATGCATAACAATAAAAAGTTGTTTTCAATCTTCACTTACAGAAACACACTGATCTGCCAATGTAACTGACTTTATTTATTTATTTTATTATTTTTAAAAAATATATTTTATTGATTTTTTACAGAGAGGAAGGGAGAAGGATAGAGAGTTAGAAACATCGATGAGAGAGAAACATTGATCAGCTGCCTCCTGCACACCTCCCACTGGGATGTGCCCACAACCAAGGTACATGCCCTTGACCAGAATTGAACCTGGGACCTTTCAGTCCGCAGGCCAACACTCTATCCACTGAGCCAAACCGGTCAGGGCGTAACTGACTTTAAATTGTAAGACATCCCAAATGCATAATACACCTGATCTCTTTAGATAACAAGAATTTTATTAGAATAAGTGTTCCTGATTAGTTCTGTTTATATTAATATTCTCCCTTCTCCTCACACTCTTCCTCAAATTCCAAGGCTCTCCTTAAGTATACATTATCAAAGTGACACCTTTTACATCTCACCAGTATTATTTCAGGGAATAAATCTTGTAGTCCGGGCTTTGGCATAAGGACCTGGTTATCTTTAGATGACATAGCTGTAAAAAAAAGCACACAAATTCTTAAGTTTCCACAACCAGAAGAGTACACTTTGAAGTTAACAGGCACGTATTGACCAAATGACATTTTGGTGTACTCCAAGAGTATGAAAAGAATTCAATCAAAGCTAAAGCCTTATATATCCGTTGAAGGATTATTTACAACTAGAGCCCCGATGCATGAAAATTCATGCACTGGAGGTAGGGGAGGGAGTCCCTCAGCCCGGCCTGCCCACTCTCACAGTCCGGGAGCTCTGAGGGGCAGGAGGCAACCCGGACATCAGGGGAAGGTGAAATCGCCATCACATCTGTGCTGTTGCCACTGGCGGCAGCACAAGCTTCAGCCGGCCCTGGTTACCTGAGCCTCAGGAGGATCTGGGCAGCTGGGCAGCTGCAATCCAAGGCTTGCCTGCGCCTCGGGCGTCAGCTGGGCAGCCACCTCGGGCGTTACCTGTGCCTTGGGCCAGCACTGGGCGGCTGGAGGCCTGAGGGCGGAGCGGGTGTGAAAGGACTGGGCACCCTATTTTGTGGCTATGGGGATGGCCACCTTTGTGATGGTATCATGGTCAATTTACATATCCCACCTTTATTAGATAGGACCAGAGGCCCAGTGAACAGAAATTTGTGCACTCGGGGGGGTCCCTCAGCCCGGCCTATGCCCTCTTGCAGGCTGGGACCACTCAGAGGATGTCCACCTGCTGGCTTAGGCCTGCTCCCTGGGGGATCGGGCCCAAGCTGGCAATCAGACATCACTCTGGCAGCCCGGCAGCCCTCGGGCGATGTCCACTTACTAGAAGGGAGAGGACCTAAGCTGCAGTCAGACATCCTTAGTGCTGCTGAGGAGGCGGGAGAGGCTTCCACCACCACCGCTGTGCTGGCAGCCATTAGCCTGGCTTGTGGCTGAGCTGAGCTCCTCCCATGTGAGAGCACCCTGACCACCAGAGGGCAGCTCCTGCATTGAGCGTCTGCCTCCTGATGGGTCAGTGTGTGTCATAGTGACCAGTCATTCCTAGTCTTTCTGCTGTTAGGGCCAGTTTGCATATTACCCTTTTACTATATAGCATAGACGCCTGGTGCACAGGTGGGGGCTGGCTGGTTTGGCCTGAAGGGTGTCCCGGATCAGGGTAGGCGTCCCACTGGGGTACCTGGACAGCCTGGGTGAGGGGCGGATGGCTGTATGCAGCTGGTCATACCCCCTTCAGGGTGTAGGTCCCTACTGGGGTGCCTGGCCAGCCTGGGTGAGGGCCTGAGGGCTATTTTCAGGTAGTTAAAGCCCCCCCGCAACGTAAGCTCCCAGGCTCTCCTTTTTTTCTTTTTTATTCTGGGATTTATTTACCTTCTATAATTAAAATTTTGTAGCCTTGAGTGGAGCTCAGAGCCAGCCAGGGTGAGCAGAAAGTTTGGCTTCCTCCATTGCCAGGGGCAACCCTAGCCTCCTGCTCGCTCCAGGTACATGCCCTTCCCCAGAATCAAGCTTGGGACCCTTCAGTCTGCAGGCCGACACTCTATCCACTGAGCCAAACCGGATAAGGCTGACCTTGGCATTTTAATTATGATGTGTCTTGGTGTGGTCCTCTTTGGATTCCTCTGGTTTGGGGTTTACTGCGCTTTCTGGACTTGTAAGTCTATTTCTTTCACAAGGTAGGGGAAGTTTTCTGTCACTATTTCTTCAAATAGGTTTTCAATATCTTGCTATCTCTCTTCTTCTGGCACCCCCGTAATTCGGATGTTGGTACGCTTGAAATTGTCCCAGAGGCTCCTTACACTATCTTCATATTTTTTGATTCATTTTTCTTGTTGCTTTTCTGTTTGGGTGGGGTTTTTTTGCTTCTTCGTATTTCAAATCTTTGACTTGATTCTTTGGGATCCTCTAGTCTGCTGTTGAATCTCTGTATATTATTCTTTATTTTAGTTAGTGTAAGCTTAATTTCTCATTAAAAGAGCAGCACATCCAGGTGCCAGCACATGCCATGCTGCAGTACCTCTTACCAATTTCAGTGCACTTTCTTCACCTCTCTATTTGTGGAACTTCCACTCAGTCAGCTTTCCCATGGTTCTGGCTGGTAGTTGTTCTGCCTTTTAGTTGTAATTTTGATGTGGTTGTGAGAGGCAGCAAGTATAGGTGTTTACCTATTTTGCCATCTTTTTCTCTCTATTGTTTCTTTATAATCATGAATAAGACTTCATTGCCCTGGCCGGTTTGGCTCAATGGATGGAGTGTTGGCCTGGGGACTGAGGGGTCCGGATTTGTTTCTGGTTGGGGGCACATGCCCAGGTCCCGGGATTGCTTCTCAGTGGGGGGTGTGCAGGAGGCAGCCAGTCGATGATTCTCTCTAATCACTGATGTTCTGTCTCTCTCTCCCTCTCCCTTTCTCTCTGAAATCAATAAAAATATATTATTAAAAAAAACCAAAAGACCAATTTTTGTAAGTTATGAATAAACAGCCCTTTGTAAGCTTTTGTGTAGATAAAGGCTTAACTCTTTGATTTAATAGTAAGGAGCCCAATTAGTGGATCCCATGGCGAGTGTATATATAGTTTTATAAAAACCTCCAGACCGTCTCCCCCAGGCTCTGTAGCATTTGGCATTTTCAGCAGCAGTGATTGGAGTTCCAGTTGCTCCACATCACAAAGGCATTTGGTGGGGTCAGTGTTATGTATTCTGACCTGTTCCATGGTGGTTTAGTATTGCCTGCCTGTGCTGTTTGTTACTTCTCATTGTTTTAATGTGCATTTCCTTAGTGACATTAGACGTACAGGATCTTCTTACACTGATTTTCTATGTGTATATATTTTGTAGTGCTGTGCGTTAAGGTGTTTGGCCCTTTTCAGTCATGTAAATTCTTTTGTCAGTGTTGACTTTGAAGATTTCTTTGTCTGTTTTGCATAATTGTATCGTACATTTTGACTTTTTAAATTAATATATATTTTTTTATTGACTTAAGCGAGGAAGAGGGAGAGAGAGATACAACATCAATGATCAGAGAGAATCACTGATCTACTGCCTCCTGTACATCCCCTACTTTGGATGGAGCCCAAACCTTGGCATGTGCCCTAACCAGGAATCGAACTGTGAACTCCTGGTTCATAGGTGGACTATCAACTGCTGGGCCATGCCAGCCGGGCCATGTTGACTTTTACAAATATATTTTCTCAGCCTGTTCTTCTCGTTGTTTTTTTTTTCTTTTGAGGATGCCTTATTTATTTATTTTTTTCTTTAAAGTTTGAGTTGATACATTGGGAGTTTCCATTTTAATACACCGGATTGAAATACAAACTTGGTTACATATTTGCCTTTTAAAAATGTGAAGTGTATAAAATTTACGTGGTTTTACATTCAGTAACATGGAAGTTATATTTGCAGCTATTTTATCATCTCTACAATAAAAACATAGTCATATGTTGAAGGAGATGAGTTGATATATAAATTTTATCTCCTTACATGTCAACTCAAATGAACCGGTTTGGCTCAGTGGACAGAGTGTCAGTGTGCGGACCAAGAGGTCCCAGGTTTGATTCCAGTCAAGGGCATGTACCTTGGATGTGGGCGCATGCCCAGTAGAGAGTGTGCACTAGGCAGCTGATCGAGGTTTTCCTCTCATTGATGTTTCTAACTCTCTATCGTTATCCCTTCCTCTCTGTAAAAAAAAAATCAATAAAATATATATATTTTTGAAAAGAGTCCTTTTCCACTCAGATGTCTTCACTATCTACAGTAATAAAAGAGACACATGCAAATTGACTGTGCCTTTGTTATGGCCCACCAGCCAATCAGAGGGACTATATGCAAATTAACCCAACCAAGATGGCGGCCAGCAGCCACTGAGCTGCAGCAAGCAGGAGGTTTGGTTGCTCCAGGGATGGAGGAAGCCCAGCTTCCCACCTGCCACGGCTGGCTCTGAGCTCCACTCAAGGCAACAAAGTTTCAATTATAGAAGATAAATAAACCCCAGATACCTGCTTTCAGCCGGCAGTGGCCATGGAGCTGGGGCGTGGGGATGCGGGGGAGGGTCAATCAGGGAAAAAAGGAGACATATGTAAAACTTTAGACAATAAATAAAATGAAATTTTAAAAAAATCCAATCTGCTTGCCCAGGTAGCCCAGTTCCTAAGAGGATTGTACTGATATACCAAAGTTGTAGGTTTGATCTCTGGACAGGGAACATACAAAAAAATCAATTAATGCCATTTTGAAATTTCTATCTCTCTCTGAGTGTACCTCCCTGCCTGAAATCAACAAAATCTAAAAAAAAGAAAAAATAACTAAAAGAAAATGGAGTGTGAATTTTGATAGAGGTTTTCCATTTCCAATCCAGGTTGCCCTCTGGCCAGAAGACATGGTAGAATCCTATATAATAAAATCCTAATATGCAAATTAACTGAATGGCAGAACTGGTCGCTATGAGGCGCACTGACCACCAGGGGGCAATGCCGTTATGATCAAAATACCATTATGATCAATGAAAAACCACAGCATCAATTTTTTGCACTTGAAAGCACATACATAAAAAAAAATATTTAACAAAGAGATACAGAAACACAAAGTACTAGTGATGACTGTCTTAGAGAATATTTTAGTTTTGCCTGCCTTCTATCAATGCAGGAGCTGACCCCTGGTGGTCAGTGCACTCCCACAGGGGGAGCACCACTCACCCAGAAGCCAGGCTCATGGGTGGCGGGAGGGAGGGATCAGGCCTAAGTCAGCAGGCAGACATCCTCCAAGGGGTTCCGGACTGCAAGAGGGAACAGACTGGGCTGAGGGATCGCCCCCGCTCCAGTGCACGAATCACGTGCACCGGGCTTCTAGTATTACAATATTCTAGAAAATTGTTGCTAAATACAATTTTCTAATTAGTACCTTAATTAGTGTACACAACATGTAAAGTGTGTAAACACTGAGTTCCTAATTCACATACATCACAAAGCGTTTCTTTTCTATCCCAAGGACCCCCAATTTGTTCCCCTTTTTAAAAAATATGTATTTTTATTACTTTCAGAGAAGAAGGGAGAGGGACAGATAGAAACACCAATGATGAGAGAGAATCATTGATTGGCTGCCTGCTGCACGCCCCCTACTGGGGAGCAAGCCTGCACCCTGGTATTTGTCCTTGAACAGAATGGAACCTGGGACCTCTCAATCTGCAGGCAGGCGCTCTATCCACTCAACCAAACCAGCTAGGGCCCAATTTGTTCCTTGAGAGCTAGAATCTAACACAGAAAGCAAAAGCTCCTAGAGATGTTAAAATAATAAAGGAAAGCAAACACTGTGGGCGGAGTAGGAACTCAGGAAGGAGTCATCCTTACCCAGGGAAGCCAAGTTGATGTAGTTCTCTGACATCACATCGATGTACAATTTCCGCTGAGCTGGGTCCAGGCTTTCCCACTCCTCCTGAGAGAAATCTATGGCCACATCCCTAAAGGTCAACGGTTCCTGAAAGAAAAACACATTTACCAAGAGGTCACCAGAAGAGTTCATAATGTCACCCAACATGAAAACAGTGTCAGAAGAGGTTTGGACCTAGGGGAGTATCCTGAATTATTTAATAGATCACTTTGACCAGTAACATTCTCTGATGTGTTTTCTAACACTGACCCACGAGGATGACACATGCCCACAAATCCACGGTACAGATTAATGTTTCAGCAAATTTACTATGAGTAATCTTAGAACAAGATTATTCTGCCTGGTGCAGCTCATGTGGCTCAGTGTTGCCTGCTAACCCATGCACCAAAAGGTCTCTGGTTTGATTCCTGATCTGGACACACGACCAGGATGCGAACTCAATCCCCAGTGAGGGGTGCGTAGGAGGCAGCCAATCAATGATTCCCTCTTATCATTGATGTTTCTATCTCTCTCTACCTCTCCTTCTCTGAAATCCATAAAAATGTATTTGGGGGGAAAAAAGGAAAAAATAGCTGAAATAAGGTTAACAGTTTAGGCTCAGAGACACACATTTTACAACTATGAAATCAAGATGGTTTAAAGATTTTGTAAATCTCATGAATGTATTTGTGTATAATCCACTTTGTGTTTTATTATAAACACTAGAGGCTTGGTGCACAAAAATTTGTGTACTCGGGGGGGGGGGGAGGTGGGTCCCTCAGCCCTGCCTATGCCCTCTCGCAGACTGGGACCGCACAGGGGATGACCACCTGCTGGCTTAGGCCCGCTCCCCGGGGGACTGGGCCTAAGATGGCATATGATATCCCTCTGGCAGCCCGGCAGCCCTCCGGGGATGTCCATTTGCCAGGGGGGAGCAGGCCTAAACTGCAGTCAGACATCCTTAGTGCTGCTGAGGAGGCGGGAGAGGCTCCCACCACCACCGCTGTACTGGCAGACCTCAGCCTGGCTTGTGGCTGAGCTGAGCTCCTCCCATGTGAGCGCACCCTGACCACCAGAGGGCAGCTCCTGCATTGAGCGTCTGCCCCCTGGTGGTCAGTGTGTGTCATAGTAACCAGTCATTCCCAGTCTTCCTGCTGTTAGGGTCAGTTTGCATATTACCCTTTTACTATATAGGATAGAGGCTTGGTGCACGGGTGGGGGCCAGCTGGTTTATTCTGAATGGTGTCCCGGATCAGGGTGGGGCCCCGCTTGGGTGCCTAGCCAGCCTGGATGAGGGGCTGATGGCCGGCTGCAGCTGGTCACACCCCCTTCAGGGTGGGGGACCCCAGTGGGGTGCCTGGCCAGTCTTGGTGAGGGACTGAGGGCCGTTTTCAGGCTGGCGGGTGACTGAAGCTCCCAACCTCTCCTTTTTTTCTTTTTTTTTTATTCTGGGATTTATTTACCTTCTATGGCTGTCACTGGAACTGAGAGCCGGCTTTAGCTCTGAGGCTCGGCTCCAGCTCTGAGACCTCGGCTGCTGAAAGCAGGTATCTGGGTTTGTTTGGCTTCTATAATTGATACACTGTTGCAACTCCAGCTCTGAGGCCTGGCTGCCTGAAAGCGGGTTTCTGGGGTTTGTTTAGCTTCTATAATTGCCACACTGTTTCTTAGAGTGCAGCTTAGAGGCTGGCAGCGGCAGGCAGGGAACCTTGGCTTCCTCCATCACTGAAGCAAGCAAGCCTCCTGTTCGCTTCAGCTGCCTGGATGCCGGCCTCCAGCAGCAGGCGGGGAACCTTGGCTTCCTCCATCACTGGAGCAAGTAAGCCTCCTATTCGCTTCAGCTGCCTGGATGCCGGCCGCCATCTTGGTTGGCAGTTAATTTACATATCTTGCTGATTAGCCAATGGAAAGGGTAGCGAAGTTATGGTTAATTACCATGTTTCTCTATTATTAAATACGATAAGGAGAAAAACATAAGGATATAAAACAAGTTAGATCTTTTGTTTCCATTTTGTGGTTGTAAATCTTCACCTGGAAAGATTCTTTTCCCATGGACTTTTGGGGAGGCGAAGGCAGAAGGTAGAGGGACAAAAGGGAAAGAAGAGAGAGGGGGAGAGAGAGAGAGAGATTGATATCACTGCAAAAGAGAGACAGAGACACATGGATTGGCTGCCTACCACAGGTACCTAGGACCTACTTGCCCTGGACTAGGAATCAAACCCTCCACCACTGATCCACACCAGCTTAGGGAACTAATTTTTCTTACTAGTACATTTCTTTCAAAATTTTCATGTATCATTAGTGGAGAGCTATGTTGTAGAAATTTAATGAAACTGAATATACATTAATACCATTCTTGGAAACTTTGCAGAAAATACAAAAAAGTGATAGTCTTTGCACGACTTTCATTAAATCTCTATTACAGCCTTTGCCTTCTTCAGTGATATGTGAGCCTCTGACCCATCTCAGTAGGGATGTTAGACATGGCTGCCTTCCAAGTTTTATCTGTCACAAAAGGGATATTCTGATTAGTTGAAAGTCACTAATTAAAGGTGGGAATGCTTCCTGCTTTCAAAATGAATACAGACAAGGCTTTGGGACAAAGGAGGGAATTATACCCCAGCTAGTGTGGCTGAGAGGTAGAGGGTTGACTTATGAACCAGGAGGTTAGGGTTGGATTCCTGGTTAGGGCACCCTACAGGTTTCAGACTTGATACCCAGGGCAGGGTGGAGTGCTAGAGGCAGGTGATCTATGATTCTCCAACCTGATTGATGTTTCTGTCTCTATCTCCCTCTCCTTTCCATTCTGAAATCAATAAAAATATTTTTAAAAAAGAGTGGTTAAAAAAAAGAAGAAAAACACAAACAAAAAAAGAGAAATATAGAAACTGCTGACATTGACTATCCAATAGAAAACCCTAATAGGCAAATCGACCAACCTGGAGAACAACCAGTTGCTATGACATGCACTGACAACCAGGGGCAGACGCTCAACACAGGAGCATCTGTCCCCTGAGTGTCCTGAGTAGAGCATCTGCCCCTTGAGAGGGAGGTGACCGGTGGCTTTGGCAGCAGAGGCGGGGATAGCCATCAGGCGGCCCCAGGCAGCCAGCCAAGGCAGGTGCCAGCAGGGACTTGCCAATTGCTTCATTGGTCACTCAACAGATCGGCCCTGATTGCCGGCCAGGCTTAGGGATCCTACCCTATATTTAGGGAACAGTCTCTTAGATTTAAAAATTAAAGCCAGGAAAGGATATTCTAACACTGAAAAAACAGGATGATGCAGCAATGACATGCCTTGACTCTAGCTTACAGATTTTGTGCTCAACCCTCATTCTCATAACTTATAACTGTGGGATAAAGCAAATTACTTTTCTCTGCTTCAGTTTTTCTACCCTTAATGAAGAGGAAAATGGTACTACTGCTTCAGAAAGATCATGTTATATACTTTTTATACTCAGGGCAAGAAAAAGGTAGCTGCCCATATAACAGCAAGATGCCTTTCATCTGTATGAAAAGTATGGTCACCGGGCATGCAGCGTCCTGGATTACAAGACGGATGTCCAACTGCCGGTTTTTGGACATTGCCCGAGGGGTCCCGGAATGTGTGAGGGTGCAGGACGGGCTGAGGGACCCTCTATCCCTTGCATGAATTTTATGCATCAGGCCTCTAGTGATGAATAAAGTAATGAAATAAGGAAAGAAAAACAACCTGCAAAGGCAAGAACATCAGAAGTAGAGAAATTAATCACAGCTGTTAGAGAAAAGCAAACATAACTTCAGGCATAGGACAATCTTTTACCTGAGAAGCAGCCATTTGGTCCTGGTCCTGATAGGGGTCTGAGTTGTTTTCTCAGGTGACACTGTGTTGAGTCACAGAATGTGCCTTCAAAGAAGGAAGCACAGCCTCTTAATCAGCTCATCTCATTCACAGTCAGAAGGACCTTAAAATGCAGAAAAGGCCACCCCCTACAGCCATTGTCACAGAGGAGTCAGGAACAATGAGCTCCTATATGGAGACCACATTGTGAGGTCTGTTTTTCCACCTTCATGTGTCTCTCCACCCAAAGACATCCACAAACTCCTACAGAAATGAAAACATGAACTGTTGTCCTGACCCCCCAAACCAAACAGAGCACCCCCTTCCCGCCCCTGAACAAACTCTGCTCCTCAATCTCAGGAAAGAATCCTGCAAACCTGCTAATCCCTGTCCTCACCTTTCAAAACCTGGTGCACCTCAGTAACCAATGATGCCCCACCCAGAGCAGCTGACCAACTCTATGGGGAGAGTGCTCCTGAGGGCATTGCCTGGACTCTTAAAGCACCTCAGGGGATCTGAGAAGGCACCAAAGGATTTATCTCAGGATGTTTTTAGATAATTAAGTGTCAGACATAGAAACAGTAAATCCATTGAAGAAACACACACACAGAAAACACCACAGTAACAAAGCTAAGGCTTCTAATATTCCTTGAAAAAGCATCAGATGGTGACACATGCAAGGTCACCCAGTCTTTGCAGTCCCAGGAAATGACAAGGGAACCATAACCAAAGGGCAAGTCTCTCCCCTTTGAGTGAATAAGGACTGCAATTGGAAGCTAATTATTATAAAACTAGAGGCCCAGCGCACTGGAGTGGGGGTATCCCTCAGCCCAGCCTGTACCCTCTCCAATCTGAGACCCCTCAGGGGATATCTGACGGCCAGTTTAGGCCAGATCCCTGGGATTGGGCCTAAATTGGCAGTCAGACATCCCTCTCACAATCGGGACTGCTTCCTTCCAACAGCTTGCCTACCTGCCTGCCTGATCTCCCCTAACCTCTTCTTCCTGCCAGCCTGATCAACCACAAACCACTCCACTGCTAGCATGACCGATGCCTAGTGCTCCCCTGCCAACCAGATCGCCCCCAAGTTCTCTCCCCTATCAGCCCAGTCGCCCCTAACTTCCCTCCCCTGCAGGACTGGTAAACCCCACTTGCCCTCCCCTGCCAGCCATCTTGTGATTACATGGGGGCAACCATCTTGTGAGGGTATGACAGTCAATTTGCATAGCACCACTTTACTATATAGGACTCCCAAGCTTTATAAACTGGAGATTTGCCATTCTCATTCAAAGCTGTAAAACTGAAACAATTCAGTTGTTAAATTAAATATATAGGAACACCTAGGCAGCATGACTCAGTGGTGAAGCTTGGACCTATGAACCAGGAGCTCATAGGTAGAGTCCTAGTCAGGGCATATAGCCATGTTGCATGTTAGATCCCCAGTTACGGGTGTGCAGGAGGCAGCTGACCAATGACTGTCAGTAGTCATTGACTTTTTAATCTCTCTTTCCCTCTCCTTGCCTCTAGGAAATCAATAAAAATACATTTTAAAAAATATATGTGTGTGTGGCACAGACATACACATACATACTGTGGGGCCTTGACTTACGAGTTTAATTCGTTCCTTGACGGAGCTCGTAACTAAAATTACTCGTATGTCAAATCTTTTTTTTTTTTTTAATATATTTTATTGATTTTTTTACAGAGAGGAAGGGAGAGAGAGAGAGAGAGTTAGAAACATCGATGAGAGACAAACATAGATTAGCTGCCTCCTGCACATCTCCCACTGGGGATGTGCCCGCAACCCAGGTACATGCCCTTGACTGGAATGGAACCCAGGACCCCTCAGTCCACAGGCCAACGCTCTATCCACTGAGCCAAACCAGTTTCAGCGCTATGTCAAATCTTAATGTGAGTGAGACACGTGATGCTGGGCCGATGTTGTGACGTTCACTGCGCCAACTAGGGGGTGCGGGGGATGGTGGTATCTGAAGCTGGCTCGTACGTAACTGGAATTTTAGCTCGCAACTCAAAGCAAAAAATCAGCTGAGAGAGGGCTCGTATCTTGAAAAACTCGTTAGTAGGGACACTGGTAAGTCAGGGCCCCACTGTATATAGACAGGTACTCCACAAGTTGCTATATTTCAAAACTAAATCATCTAAATCCCATTAGTTCACTCCTTACCCAGATCAGGGTTCCCCTCCTCCTACTACTATGTATTTCTGTCTGTGGATCTGTCTCCTGCTCCCCTTTTCTCCACTGTGGTCCTTTCCTGTGTCCCCCCGTCCCCCCTGCTCTTTCTCCCCTTTTCTCTCTGTCTGTCCTACACCTGGACCATGAAACTGCTGAAACCTACTTCCCTTCAGGTGCTCTTTCCCCTGGTCTTTGGGGCTCCATCTCCACACAAGTCTGCGTCTTCCCCTCCCCACGCCCGCGGCCTCTCTGCTGCCTGTTCCCGTCTGTCCGCTCCCACAGCTGCTGACTCAGTGCTGCTCCCTCTGCTCCCTCATCCCTGAGCCCCCCTTTCTGTCCCTGCACTCGCTCCCTAACTCTTATCCTCTGAACCAGAGTCTCTGTCTGAAGTGCCTGCTCCTGTGCGGACCCCACTTCTGCTCCCCAGGACCCACTCCCTCTCAGCCCCCCTTTCTCTCTCGGGGCTCCCCCTCCTCCCTGTGTCTCCACTTCCTTCCTTCTCAGCTACTATTCCGAGGACCCCCTCACTCCTACCGTCGCCGTACAGTCCCCCCCACACACATCCCTTATGGGCCCCTCTCTTTGGACCCCTGGCTGCCCTACCTCCCGCCCACGTGTCTGTCTCTCACTCCCTCTCCTGACCCCCCAGCCTGGGCCCCCGCCCCCCGCAGTCACCGGGCCCACAAAGCCCCTGCATGCGGGCAGGTCGCCTCTTCAGGGGACACCGCATCCTTCCCCCTGAGCCCCCCCAATGGACACTGTGCTCCCCGGGCAGGCAGACCCCTTATTAAATGGGGGTGGGCCTAGGAGGCGGGTGCAGACCCCCAGGCCGGGAGCCATCCGGGCTCTTTGGGCGGAAGAACTGGGCGGCGGGAGGGGCGCAAAGGGCGGGAACCCCCTGGCCCAGACTCTCAGCCCCGCGGGGAGCACCGGCGGCCCCGGGAACGGTTTTCAGCGGGAAAACCGCGCGGCAGGCGGTGGCCACAGCCACAGGCGGAGACCACGAGCCAGGGCCTCCGTTTCCTCCCAAAGGAACGTGGCGCCCGCACCGCGCAGCCTCCCGGGACCGGACTAACCGCTGAGAGAGGCTCCGGGGCGGGGACCCCAACAAGGACTTCAGCGCCGGCAGCGCCCTCAGCCTTCCCTGCGGGGAGGGGGACGGGGAGCGTCAGCTTTAAAGACAAACGCCCTCCTCAGGGGGAACCGCCACCTCCCCCTCCACCGCCGCTTCCGCGTCTGCAAGGAACTGCGCATGCGCCTCCCCGCGGGGTGGGCGGGGCCAGAGCCTGAGCTGAGCGACTCCTCCTCCTCCTTTTCATCCTCTCCCTCCCCCTCCCCTTCCTCCTTTTCAATACATTTTTTATTGATTTCAGAGAGGAAAGGAGAGGGAGTGAGAGCAACATGATGACTGAGAATCCTGGATCAGCTGTCTCCTTCATGCCTCTCCCTGGGGATGAAGCCCGAAATCCTGGCATGTACACCAACCTGGAATGGAACCCTGACCTCCCAGTTCCTAGGTCTATGCTCAATAACTGAGCTACACTGGTATGTCACAATAGATTAAATTTATGTTATGATTTGGATTTTGTTTTATGTGTTATATATTGTGTTTAGTATTATATTTTCTTATAGTTTAAGGCCATATAATACACGTTCAGTAATATTAATAGCTGTGATACATATATGTAGGCTTGAAAGAAGCCTATTATTAATTACTACCAATATTAACAGTAACATTGATTTGACAGGCTGCACCAGTGTCTTCGGATGGCTGTCTAATTATGATCTTTGGGCTGTTCATTTTTGAAAAGACTGATTTCTATTGTAGATGAGGGAAGTTTCAGAGACAGACACAGATATCCATTCATGGGTAGGCACCTGATAACATAAGGTACCTTCCAACACTGTGGGAGAGAAATTTTAATTAGTGTATTTTTCAAAAGACAAATATATTGATAGTAAGTTGTGATCTTTGAAGTCTTTGTGTTCTGGGCATACATTATCAAATGAATGTTATTAATTTAGTAGTGCCTATAATTTCATAAATGGGCCATTGATCATAATGTAGAATGTCTCCTTTTACTTTTCCTTCCAAAACAAATTTCTGGGGAATGAAAAACTGTTTACCTACTGACCTCACTAAAAGGCAGCGTTTCCACATGGGTCAGGTAACTCTGAGCACGGTTATTCTCATGCTTATTATATGTACACAGTCCAGGATTAGAGCTTTCACTAGAGCAACATTCTCTGCATAGTTTCTTTGGGGCCCAAAGCTAGACATGAAATAACTTTTTTCCCAACCCTTTACTTTCTTTCTTTTTCTTTTTTTTACAAGATATTTTATTGATTTTTTTACAGAGAGGAAGGGAGATAGTTAGAAACATCGATGAGACAGAAACATGGATCAGCTGCCTCATGCACATCTCCTACTGGGGATTTGCCCGCAACCCAGATACATGCCCTTGACTGGAATCGAACCTGGGACCTTTCAGTCTGCAGGCCGACGCTCTATCCACTGAGCCAAACCGGTTTCGGCGCAACCCTTCACTTTCATGTGGTGTCTTTTGATCTGAAATGGGCCTCATTTACACAGCATAAGTTTGGGTATAGATCTCATATCCATTCAGCTACCCTGTGTTTTCTGGTTGAAGCAGTTAACCCGTTTATATTATAAGTGATTATTGATAGGTATGTAGTTAGTTACTGGCATTTTTAAATTAATTAATATAGTCCTAGAAGGGGACTTTAACTTCCCATTGACATCACTGGATAGATCTGCCGGAGGAAAAAAAAGTCAGTAAGGAAAAATTCGTCTTAAATGACTCATTAGACAAGATGGATTGGATAAATTTATAGCAGAGATTATCAAAAGGAATGTCACACTGGCCAAACTGGTGTGCTACAAGAAGGAACACCTGGCTATTTACTCACTAGCACAGGCTACATTACCCATAGATTGTCAAATAAAATGTGACAAAGGCCTGCACAGTAATAGCAGTGTGGTGAGCATGAGTTAAATTTAGACATTTTTTTGACAGACTGCCAAATATATACTTTGATAGACCTCTAAATTTCAATAATTACTCCATTTGCGCCATGAGATTAAAAATGTTGAAATCTTGGACTTAGAGCTTTTCACCCCAAAGCAGAAGGATATGCATTCTGGACAAAATGAAGACAGAAGGACCTCTCAACCTAGAAACAATGTCTGCTTCATCTATTTTCCCAATGACCATGTGAAAAACAAATTTTTATTTTATATTAATAAACCTCTGTGATATTCCTCACTCCAGTAGCAGAAAATGGAACTATTGTCTAGGTAACATCAAATTCCTATGAATGATCCAGATCCAACAGTTTGTCCCAAACAGAACAAAACCATAAAGCCCCTGGTCCAGATAGAGACCTAGAGACAAAATATCAGGAGATTCTTATACATATGAATGCTCCATGGGAATGTCAGGGAGTAGAGTAGAAGAGTATCCAATATCTAGTTTCTTTAATTATTGTGTGATCCTTTGGGTTGGCCCATGAAAAGCATCTGATATTACCAGCTTATACAAATTTACAACAGTACACTGGAGAAGGAACGAATGTGGGGCTTTCATTTCAATCTCTGTTTACCTGCTGTCCCTGGAATTTATAGTCACGGTTTGGAAAACACTGCAAGGACAGCTAATGCCTATAAACATACCTGTGGTCATGCTGTCAATATACAAAATAATTTTTGATGCAAAATAATAAAATGCTTCAACTGCAAATCTGCCATGGACTCTGGGGTTCCTCTAGATCAGGGGTGGGCAAACTTTTTGACTCGAGGGCCACAATGGGTTCTTAAACTGGACCGGAGGGCCGGAACAAAAGCATGGATGGAGTGTTTGTGTGAACTAATATAAATTCAAAGTAAACATCATTACATAAAAGGGTACGGTCTTTTTCTTTTTTAGTTTTATTCATTTCAAACAGGCCGGATCCGGTCCGCGGGCCGTAGTTTGCCCACGGCTGCTCTAGATTGACCAACATTCAGCTACATTCAACTAACTGAAAATAAAATTGGTTTTAAACTGGTTGATTCTACCCGAAGGAAAAAGTTAATGAAGTAACACTGGAAATTTCTTCAGGATTCCAATGAAAATCAGGACAAGAGAAATCATTCCAGTTATAAAGTACACAGAAGCCAATTTATTATATTCCAAAAATTAATAATATTCAAAACTTTAGAATCCAGCATAAAAATTCAATGGTGAGCTTCCTGAATGTAAAGCAAATATTTGCCAAATTCTGATGTTAGTTACATTATTAGTAAAATTCCAAAGTACTGAACAGAAGCTACAGGGGCCTGAAGGGCTGATGTGGAGAAAGAAGTTTAGATGCCATTGTTATAACACAGAAAGGAAAATAGTTGGGGCTATAGAAACATCAATGATGAGAGGGAATCACTGATCGGCTGGCTCTTGAATGACCCACAACTGTAACTGAGCCACCAATCAGGGCCTGTGCCTTGAGCACAAATTGCACTCTGGCCTCCTGGTTCATATATCCAAGCTAAACCACTGACGCAAGCCAGCCAGTGATTTCTCAAATTTTTACAGTGTAAGAATTTCCTGCACTATAAAAGTCTCTGATATCCAGTAAAATTTGACCTCTTGGTACAGTGTGCGAGCCACGTCCCGTGTGGTTTCAGGGTTCAGGATCTGAAGAAGGGCCACGTGAAAATGACAGAGATGAGACAAGAAGTAATAATTTGGAAATATTGGGAGCCAGGCGGAAAGTCCAACACAAGGGGAAGGACTTAAAATGGTGACCAGGCCTTGCCAACCTTTTATTCAATTTTGGATACACATATATCCCTTGGTCAGGCAGGCAATTCCGGTAACAGACAGACTATCTTAAAGGTCAGTAAATATTAGTAAAGATTTACTCTGAGACTATTTGGTCAGGAAATAGCTTGAGCTCCCATTGTCTCGACTAAACAATCGGTGCATAACTCTGGCCCTTGCCAGGGCTCAAGGTTGAACTATGTTCCAGGCTCCTTGTTTAGACTTTTCTAATAGTGAAGACAGTGGGTAGCTTCCAAAAGTACAGGATCTTGCACATGCTCTACATTTGAAAGGTTTCTTCTGCAGTATGAAGTCTCTCATGTGCAGTAATACATGCATGACTTTTAAGGCTTCACTACATTTTTCATATTCATAAGGCTTGTTTGCAGTCAGAATTCTCTGACATTCAATAACTTCTCACTGCTGGTCAAGGGCTTTTGACACTCCTCATATCTGTAATACTTCTCTCAAGTATGAACTCTGCTGTACAATAAGGCAGGAACACTCATTAAAGGCTTTGTTACATTTTCACATTTATAAGGCTCCTCTCCAGTATGACTTCTCTGATATGCAGTAAGGTTTGAGGAGCTGCCAATGGATGTGCCACATTCTCTTCATTCATGTGACTTCTCTCCAGTATGAACTTTCTTATGCTTTGTAAGTTGTGAGGACCATCTAAAGGCTTTGCCACACTCTCCACATTTATAAGGGTTCTCTCCAGTATGGACTCTCTGATGTAGATTAAGGGAAGAGGAAGATGTAAAGGCTTTGCCACATTCTCTACATTTATAAGGCTTCTCTCCAGTATGAACTCTCTGATGTATATTAAGTCTTTTGGACTCATTGAAGGCTTTGCCACATTCTCTACATTTATAAGGCTTCTCTCCAGTATGAACGCTCTGATGATAAGTAAGGTGTGAGGACCGGATAAAGGCTTTGCCACATTCTCTACATTTATAAGCCTTATCTCCAGTGTGAATTTTATGATGGCGAATAAGTTTTGAGGAATCACTGAAGGCTTTACCACATTCTCTACACTTATAAGGCTTCTCTCCAGTATGAACTCTCTGATGTATATTAAGGGAGTACGAACATCTAAAGGCTTTGCCACATTCTCTACATTTATAAGGCTTCTCTCCAGTATGAACTCTCTGATGACGATTCAGGCAGAAGGATTGGCTAAATACTTTGCCACATTCTCTACATTTATAAGACTTCTCTCCAGTATGAACTCTCTGATAACTAAGGGATTCGGACTGCCTAAAGGCCTTGCCACATTCTCTATATTTATAAGGCTTTTCTCCAGTATGAACTCTGTGATGTTTATTAAGGGAGGAGGAAGTGCTAAAGGCTTTGCCACATTCACTACATTTATAAGGTTTCTCTCCAGTATGAACTCTGTGATGTTTA